TTATCTCCTTATTCTCCCCGCTCATTCTTCAATTCTTCGTTCTTGTCTCTTCCATTCCCACCTTTTTCTATGTGGCAGCCGTATGCCAGGGTGGCTGCCCTGCTAATGCGCAGTGCAAGGTGGTGGGAGGCAAGGCAGCATGTCAGTGCAAGGCAGGGTTCCGAATGGAGAGCAACAAGTGCACACGTAAGAGAAAGAAGGACGCTTTCCTTCTTGTATCACTATCTTAGTAGCCGTTCCAGCCCGACCGACTTTGATATACGTTTTCTCTCTCACTCCCCCACCACCCACTTGCATTTACAAACAATTTCTCTGTCTATAAACCATGCACTCAGTGATGACTGTATCCCCTCTGTCCCATCCCCGGCCATCCATCATTCATTCCTCCCTGCTCTCGCATCTTTCCATGTGGCAGCTACATGCCAGGGTGGCTGCCCTGCTAATGCACAGTGCCAGGTGGTGGGAGGCAAGGCAGCATGTCAGTGCAAGGCGGGTTTTCGAATGGAGAGCAACAAGTGCACACGTAAGGGAGAGAAATGCAAGCATGCTGTCCCGTTTAAATTGCTGTTGTAGAAGCCGTTCAAGCCTGGATGAACCTCATGCACTTCCCCTCTCTCACAGACTCACACCCACCACCACCCACTGGCGCCCATGAACAATTTCCCTGTCCCAATCATGAGGTGACTGTATGCTCTCCTTGTCATCCCCGCTCATCCTTTATCCCGCCCTCTCTCTCCCATCACCCCTTTTCCATGTGGCAGCCGTATGCCAGGGTGGCTGCCCTGCTAATGCGCAGTGCAAGGTGGTGGGAGGCAAGGCGGCATGTCAGTGCAAGGCAGGGTTCCGAATGGAGAGCAACAAGTGCATACGTAAGGGAGAGAAAAAATCGAAAGGTTTCGATTTTTTATCTTATCGCTCCCTTAGTAGCTGTTCCAGCACGAGTGAACCTCATGCACTTCCCCGTTTGCACACCCTCCACCTCCCACTTGGCACTTGCACCAATTGCTCTGCTTGTCTCAATCATGCATTCTACTGTGATTGGATGCCCTCCTTGTCGTCCCCTCTCATCCTTAATTCCTTCCCCCTCTCCCATCTTCCCCTTTTCCATGTGGCAGCCGTATGCCAGCCTAGCTGCCCTGCTAATGCCCAGTGCAAGGCGGTGGGAGGAAAGGCGGCATGTCAGTGCAAGTCAGGATTCCGAATGGAGAACAACAAGTGCACACGTAAGGGAGAGAAAGCCAAGTATCTTCGCTCATTTAGCAGCTGCCTGCCACAGCTCGGCTGAAGATTAGATTTGAGACGTCTCAAAACTAATCTTCATACTCGTAAGGGAGAGGAAGCAAAGTAGCTTCGCTCATTTAGCAACTGCCTGCCACAGCTCGGCGGAATCTCACGCCCTCCCCCCTGTCTACCAACCAACCTCCATCATCCATTGATGCGACTTTTGAGTCGACTCAAAATCACCCAACAGCTCGGCTGAATCTCACGCCCTCCCCCCTGTCTACAAACCAACCTCCATCATCCATTCATGCCATCTGCTCAGTGTGTGCTCTAATCTCTTCGCCTCTGATCTCTCCCTGTTCCCTTCTCTCACTTCCTCCTCCGCTTTTCCATGTGGCAGCTATATGCCAGCCTAGCTGCCCTGCTAATGCGCAGTGCATGGTGGTGGGGGGAAAGGCGGCATGTAAGTGCAAGGCGGGATTTCAAATGGAGAGCAACAAGTGCACATGTAAGGGAGAGGAAGACACATATGCTCTCGCTTCTGTCTTGCTCTTATAACAGCTGGCGCAGCTCGCCTGAACCTCATGCATTTCACGCATTGCCGGCACTCTGCTCCCTCCTTTCTCCTGCTGCTCAACGAAATGCTATGTTTATCAGGCTCCCACCATTATCACCTCACAATCTGATCTAGTATACCTTAATCTCCACCATCCACATATTCTTCACACTTGTCATGTTCAATCGTTGATGATTATTGATCAACCTCCGGCTTAACCTTCTGCCTCTTGTCACCTTGACCTGCCATCTTCCATTCACCTATATTTTGCAACTCAGCGAGCAACTCATTTCTACTTTGAAGGGACTGGTGGACTAGCGAAGAACGGGCGAGTGACCCTGGTTTGATGAGCCAGAGTCCAAGGAGGCGCAAGCTGGCAGCGCCAGAGGGACATGAGAATTGGACAGCAGGGTGGGCAAAGAATGGGCGACTTTAGTTGGATGGGCAGGGGGCGCAAGCAGGCAGTGCCAGGGAGACATCAGATGGGCGGTGGCTGATGGAGCAGCAGAGGTGCGAGGAACTGCATGACTTTTGATGCAAGAAGGCGCAAGCTGGCAGTGCCAGAGGGACATCAGATCAGCCGTGGCTGATGGAGCAGAGGTGCGAGCAACTGCATGTGGTTGCTCGGAGGCCAGGAACCAACTCCGGCTGATGGTTAGCCGAGTCATCTAGTGCTTGCACTAGGAATAAGGTTCCCTGCTTGGTTTGTCATACTGAAGGCCATTGTTAGAGAGTATGTTTTATTATATATATTTTCATATACTGCCTGCTGGTGTAGCTATTGTGTAGTGTTACAACTTCTGTGTGCCTTTGCCTATGCCTAATTGTAATTCCACTTCTCATAGCGAGACACTCTCGACATGCTCCTTCCTAGACTAGGGTTTCTCCTGAGCCTGGGTATCTTTTTACTTGGATAGTTTTTATCGAGAGTATCTTACCATCACGTTGTAAACAGGAGCATGCTCAAGAAGACGTGCTTAGGACCGACCGCTCGAATGGGATGTAGTGAAATTGAGATATTGACGGCCCTTTTTATGCCAAACCAGGTTGATGATCTTGTCCCTTGCTAGGTGGCCCCACAAGGTGGCCCCACACAAAGCCATCTAGCGAGCAGCATATAGAGGTTGTGATTGTCGTGTCATTGAGCACACTTTAGCGGCCTTCATGTTCACTGAAAGGGAACCAGCAACAACAAACCAGCCAAGCATGTACCGTAAGTAAGCTCAGCTCTAGGGTAAATGCACTAAACAACTCAGCCAACCGTCAGTCAAGTTGGTTCCTGGCCTCCGAGCAACCGCATGCAGTTGCTCGCACCTCTGCTCCATCAGCCCCCGCCGATCCTATGTCTGCCATTTTGCGCCTCCTTGCCCCCTGCCCATCCGTTGTCCCTCTGACGCCCGTTCCTTGCTTGTCCACCAAACCTTCCGTATGACCCTCCAGCACTGCCAGCTTGCGCCTCCTTCGCTTGTCCATCATCCCCTCTGTAGAGCACACGTTCAGCTCTTTGAGTGGCAAACAGAGGTGGAATGGGAGGGCAAGGCAGCCCACAAGGAAAGAAGTGACATGAAACAGGAGATGAAACGGAATGACAAGCTATGGGAGCAAAATGTGGATGGTGGATGCGTAATCAGTTAAAGCCAGGGTCTCAAGTAAGCTAAGGAGCCGTCAACTGCAAAGCAGTTGACGCTAGGTTACCTAGTTATTGCCGACGAAGTTCTTTCTGGTTGGGTTGAAAAATCAGCTTGCGACACACCCCAGAAGCGATTGCACAACACTTTTGAGTACTTGAGACTTTCGATGAGTTGGGGGCATTTTAGGTTTGGCTCCGAACCAAGTTTCCAAACCTAGAAGGTTCGGGTACACCCAACGATTTGCGTTCACTTCGCACCCCTCGCTTCTCCCCACTTCAAACCTTTCACCTCGCCAACCAATCGCAGCCCAACTTTCACCAGCAACTGCAAAACACTTGTAGTACTTGAGACCCTGGCTTTAAGAAGAATGTAGGGTGATAGTGGTGCGGAGCTCGTGTTTTTTGAGAATTCTCAAAGAATGTAGGGTGATAGTGGTGCGGAGCTCGTGTTCTTTGAGAATTCTCAAAGAATGTAGGGTGATAGTGGTGCGGAGCTCGTGTTTTTTGAAAATTCTCAAAGAATGTAGGGTGATAGTGGTGCGGAGCTCGTGTTTTTTGAGAATTCTCAGAGAATGTAGGGTGATAGTGGTGCGGAGCTCGTGTTTTTTGAGAATTCTCAAAGAATGTAGGGTGATAGTGGTGCGGAGCTCGTGTTTTTTGAGAATTCTCAAAGAATGTAGGGTGATAGTGGTGCGGAGCTCATGTTTTTTGAGAATTCTCAAAGAATGTAGGGTGATAGTGGTGCGGAGCTCGTGTTTTTTGAGAATTCTCAGAGAATGTAGGGTGATAGTGGTGCGGAGCTCGTGTTTTTTGAGAATTCTCAAAGAATGTAGGGTGATAGTGGTGCGGAGCTCGTGTTTTTTGAGAATTCTCAAAGAATGTAGGGTGATAGTGGTGCGGAGCTCATGTTTTTTGAGAATTCTCAAAGAATGTAGGGTGATAGTGGTGCGGAGCTCGTGTTTTTTGAGAATTCTCAAAGAATGTAGGGTGATAGTGGTGCGGAGCTAATGAAAGATACCGCATAGTTCGACCCCTCCCTATTCCCCCCTCTCAACCCTTCCCTTTCTGGCCCTTACAAGTGCACTTGTTGTTATAATCCATTTGGAACCCCGCCTTGCACTGGCATGCCGCCTTTCCTCCCACCACCTTGCACTGCGCATTAGCAGGGCAGCCACCCTTGCATGTGACTGCCACGTGAGAAGTGGGTGGAGGGGAGGAAGTGAAGGAAGAGATTGAAGAATGAGTGGGAGGGAGTTGAGGGGGCAAACAGTGAGAATAGATGGCACGGATGTGACATGTGGGGAGTTCATGGGTGCATGTGGGAGGGGGGGATGGTGGAATATCCCAAACTGATGTGCACGGAAAGAGATCCCTCCCTCTCGCTTACGTGTGCACTTGTTGTTGTCCATTTTGAAAGCCTGCCTGCACTGGCACACCGGCTTTCCTCTCTCCACCGTGCACTGCGCATTCACAGGGCACGCCCGCTTGCACACGGCTGACACAGGTGGGAGGTGGGGGGTGGGGGAGGGAGGAAAGAGTATGAGCTGAGGGGGGTGAGCAGAGGAGAAAATGAGGAGGAGTGTGCTTAGAAGGAGGAGGGGCACGAGCAGGCCACAGAACCCCCACAGGCACTCAAGCTCGACCTCGACTCACATGAAAGCACTGTGATCCCATACACTATCTTTAAACAATGGAGTCCATTGAATGGACTATCTTTTGACCTCTTCGCCTCTTGGTCACCCATTTTTAAAGCAGATCCCTAAGTGAGCTCACCAGTGCAGAGGCCGCTCTTCTTGGTGTAGCCGGCGTCACACTCGCAACTCCCCTGCCCGTACCTCAGAACGCACTTGGAATTCTTGCCGCACCTGAGAGTGCCCGTCTTACACGGGTCTGCCGCTGCCATGGGTGGAGGAGGGAAGGGGTCAGCATCAGCCTGACTGGATGTCTAGGAGCACTTCCCTCTCGCACTACATTATTCACGGCCACTTGCACAGCGTTTGGCTAATGATTAAAATTGTTGGCAAAACATGCAGCAAGAGACAAAGACACCTACCAGGAGTAGCCACGGTCCATCACCCACCCACCCACCCCCACTGCAGAACCCACCTACCCACAATCCATCAACTATCCACCCACACTCCTACCCACCTACCCACACTCCATCACTCATCCACACTCAAGCACTCACCATTGCATGACTTGTCTTTTTCATCGTAGATAAGACCTTTGACATTGCACGAGCACTTGGGAGCGCCATCGCCTACCACGGAGCAAGACGCAGCTGGTCCGCACTCATATTTGTAACACGCGTCTGCAGGGGAATTTGCCGAGGTTTTGATGCAAAGTGGGGAAAGAGAGCAGTGAAAGTTTAAATGTTGCTTAATCGCGTGCTCTAATCCACGTTCCTTCCAGCGCCCTCTCACCCGCACTCCAGCACCCACACCCACCCACACTTCATCACTCACCCACACTCTAGCACTCACCGTTGCATGTCCTCTTTTCGTTGTCGTAGATAAGCCCTTTGACATTGCACGAGCACTTGGGAGTGCCATCGCCTCCCACAGAGCAGGAAGCAGCTGTCCCGCAATCATACTTGTAACACACGTCTGCAGGGAAATTTGTGGTGGTTTTAAGGAAAAAAACGACAAAGGAGTTTGAAAAATCACGACATTGCTTAGATCTGTGAACTACCCCACACTCCAGCACCCACCCACCCACAATCCAGGAAGCAGTTGCTTCACAATCATAATGATAACACTTCACCCCCTAGTCCGCACCCACCTTCACTTCAGCACCCACCCACACTCCCGCACCCGCCCACACTCCCGCACCCGCCCACACTCCCGCACCCGCCCACACTCCCGCACCCGCCCACACTCCCGCACCCGCCCACACTCCCGCACCCGCCCACACTCCCGCACCCGCCCACACTCCCGCACCCGCCCACACTCCCGCACCCGCCCACACTCCCGCACCCACCCACACTCCCGCACCCACCCACACTCCCGCACCCGTCCCACTCTCCTGCACCCACCCCACACTCCCGCACCCACCCACACTCCCGCACCCGCCCACACTCCCGCACCCACCCCACACTCCCGCACCCACCCACACTCCAGCACTCACCAGCAATGCACTTGTAAGTATCTTTTTGTAAGACGAAACCTTCCTTGCATTGGCAACGTGTTGTACCATCCTGCACGACGCACTCTGCTTCCCCGCAAAACAGGTTCTGACTGAGACATGCATCTGCAGGGGAAATGACAAGTTGTTCCGTGTCAAGACAGGGAAAGCGGATCAGTGGAGGGGTGAATGCATTTTAACTCTTGTGCCCCAGTATTTGCCCACAACGCAGCTCTCATCCACCCTCCAGCCCTCATCCACCCTCCAGCTCACTTCCACCCTCCAGCTCTCACCCACCCTCCAGCTCTCACCCACACTCCAGCACTCACCCACACTCCAGCTCTCACCCACACTCCAGCTCTCACCCACACTCCAGCACTCACCCACACTCCAGCTCTCACCCACACTCCAGCTCTCACCCACACTCCAGCTCTCACCCACACTCCAGCTCTCACCCACACTCCAGCTCTCACCCACACTCCAGCTCTCACCCACACTCCAGCTCTCACCCACACTCCAGCTCTCACCCACACTCCAGCTCTCACCCACCCTCCAGCTCTCACCCACCCTCCAGTCCTTCCAGTGCTCCATATCTCACCTAGTACTACTACTCTCCACCTCTCACCTCCTACTCTCCACCTCTCTCTCCCAGTCTTACCCGGATTTCATTCATCCCCCGAGCCCACGCAGTTAAGTCGATTTTTGAGTCGACTAAAAAGTCGACTTCATCTCTCACCTCCTACTCTCCAGCCCTCCCTCCCAGCCTTACCCGGATTCCATTCTTCCCCCGAGTCAATGCAGACGGGTTGGCCAAAAGTGTTCAAAAGACAGTCCTTGAACCCGCAATCCAAGCCGAAGCACTCGTCTGTCGGGGGCAAAAGAGGTGGTAAAGAAGAGAGGAAAAGAAGCACTCGTCTGCTGGGGGCAAAAGAGGAGGGTGAGCAGCACGAGTGCCTCCAAAACGGTGAGCATGAGGCGGTGAGTGGGAAGCAGCATGATGTCTCCGAGGGTTTGTGAAAGAGGGTGATGAAGAGCACGAGTGCGGAAAGCAAGGAGTGACAACCGGTGGGCAGCCATGGCCTTTCCGTGTTAGTGGTGGGCGGCAGCCGTCCGGTCCGACTCACTCCTCACCAGCGCTAGCTTGGGTCGCGAGGAGGCTGAGTGCAACGAGTCCCGCCACGAGTGCGCCCACGCCCACGCCAACGGCAGACCGCCGCTCGGTGCGCTTCATCAGGTGACGGATGAGAAAGTTAGGGAGATGGGGATCGACGGTCACGGCGCGATGCGAAGCCTTCGGCTTCTTGCAACTCTCTGACTTAGGGATTGACGTTCCAGGCAGGAGTCGAATTGTAGGGATTCACTTTTGTAGTTGCGACGAGGAATGGGTGGGATTAGGTGGGCGCTCGAAGGTGATCGTTGATATGTTGTGAGTTGGAGAGAGAGTGGTCAATCTTAGATTGATCCCTTGTAAATATAAGTTCATAGATCTGACTATGTCGCGCCTGTGGACTCGCAGATGATTATGTAACGCGTTTCGTTTCGTTTCGTTGCGAAGAGGTCCGCGAGGAGGCAGAAGGGCGCACAGATTTCCGCGTAGGGAAGGGGTGAGAGAGCGGCGACTTTCGTGATACGGCCTTGGGGAAACGCCATAAGGAGAAACGCGGCGGCGATGACGAGAAACGGGAAGGAAGCCCGGCGTGCGGCTGGACGACGCGGAATTCAGACGCGACGGGGCGCAGGGCGAAAAGAAGTCCGCTTCTAGCAGTACCAGTAGCGCGTTTGCGAACACCAGAGTCGCGAACTGCGGGACTTGCGGGGGAGAATGCATTATTATCACTGATATCGGATAATGCCCAAAGCGAAACGAAAGCTCTGAACGCGTTTGGCAACGCCTAGTTCGATGGGGGTGGGGGGAGGGGGGGGATAGTTAGGGTTGGAAACGAATGTTTCCTTGTAACAATCAATTGAACGTCCTTTGCGGCGTTTGCGATAATTAGTCGCGGGCCCAGCGGAATGATTTTCGACGGAAAGATTCGCCTGGGCCGACGCACCTTGGCGACGGAAATCGGTGGCGCTGGTGAGCTTGGTCACGCAGGGGTCTGGAGGAGGGGGGCTTCGAGCCTGTCGGCCTGTGGAACGACAGATGCGTGACGACGACGGGTGCGAAAGTAACCAGGTGCGACGAAGACGATGATGGTTCGTGTTAGAAAGAACTGTCGCCAGCATTCGGGAGACCCCGCACGCGATCTTTGCCCAGTTTTCCACCACTATTGAAGCGCGTTACAATTTCGTCAAAGCTTGTCCAACCCAACAACTCATCGAACCTACGCGAAACCTGGCGAAGAATTGCAGCCAAAACCAGATGTGCACAGAACTGATGTTACAAACCCATCTCCTCCTTATTCGCCAAGGGCGTTACCAAACGCGTCCAGAGCCATCGTTTGACTCCCATACTATCTCATCGCAAACCAGTCAGGCTAAATGCATTCGTCCAATAAATCACTCCCGCAAGCCGCGGAAGCACATAAACTCTGCGATCACGAACGCGCGAGGAATTGTTTTTCCGCCTTGCGCCTCGGCGCAGTTTAAATCACCCCCTCGTCCAATAGTATGGCTATCCTAACGCGTTTCCTAGCCTAGCACTGGCTGCCCTCCTCAACAATTTCTCCCGCCATCGCCGCCCCGTCGCCCATTTCTCCTTTTGAGACGTCTCAAAAGCCAAACACTGGCTACCCTCCCCAACGATAATTCGCCTTCCCCCATCGTCTGTTCCTCCTTCGTGTTCCCCACGTTGTGGCCCTCATGACGAGGAATAGTCCCCAACACGATCATAGACCTAGTAGTAAGGTAGAGCGAATGCACGTTTCCGGAACTTGCTGCGCCTCCCTGCGTACGCACCCTCCTCTCTTCTCCGCGACGAAATGCATTGCATTATCGTCCGGCGCGGGTCCGCGACGCGCACGAGTGCGATTGACCACCCCAAACGAGTCACAGTCCGCACATAAATCGACGACGTTCGATTCCCACTATCCGCACTCGCCCTTCCTCTCATTTTGCTGCTCGCTCATTGTCTCTCCATCTCGTCTCTCCACACCGTCGAGGCCCCTGCCAATCCCTCTCACCTGCCAGCGCTGCTAGCAGCAAGCCGCAGCACTGTAATCTCGTACCGCCGCTCGCTCATTGCGTGCCTCTCCATCTCGTCTATTTCGCACCGACGCCGATACCCCACCCAATAATCTCTCCCGCCGGCGCTGCTACTACTTGTAGCAAGCCTCTGCACTGGTGCCTCGTCGCGACTACAAGTGACGTGAGTCCCGACGTTTCGACTTCTGACGCGAAAGAATCTCAAGTTTTCCTCCGGCCATCTCCCGTCTCGCCGTGTTCTTTGGCTGTCTCCTCGGCCTCTCCTGGCGTCATGAAGCGCTACGGGCGGCTGTCTGGCCTCCGGCTAGGCCTTGCAGCACTCGTCGCGGGTCTCGTTGCCATCAGCTTCCTCGCGACCCACGCCAGCGCCGCTGATGGTGAGTAGGATGACACTGCCAGCGCCACACCTCCTGCTGGTGAGTACTACTGACTGGCTGCCACGTTCCATGGCACCCAACCAACCCAAGCGGTGCTCGCGAATGCTTCTCAGTAAAAGCATGAGCTTCTCACACTCGTTGCCGTTCGCTTCCTCATGACCCAAGCCAACGCCGCACCTCCTGCTGGTGAGTACTAGTACTGACCATGCTGTCCACTCTTGCTTCCGCACTCTTGAGTGCTTTAAAGTGCCATTTAGGTGCAAAAACGTGTTGGCGCTGATCATGTTGCTCCAACTCTCTCTTTCTCACTTACTCCTCCTCCTCTCCCCTCCCCCCCCACGAAAATAGACCGTTGAGTGCTGTGTTTTGTGTTGAATGCTGTGGCGTGGGTGGCTGCTGTGCTGGAGAGTGTGGGTGAGTGGTGGAGTGTGGGTGAGTGGTGGAGTGTGGGTGAGTGGTGGAGTGTGGGTGAGTGGTGGAGTGTGGGTGAGTGGTGGAGTGTGGGTGAGTGGTGGAGTGTGGGTGAGTGGTGGAGTGTGGGTGAGTGGTGGAGTGTGGGTGAGTGGTGGAGTGTGGGTGAGTGGTGGAGTGTGGGTGAGTGGTGGAGTGTGGGTGAGTGGTGGAGTGTGGGTGAGTGGTGGAGTGTGGGTGAGTGGTGGAGTGTGGGTGAGTGGTGGAGTGTGGGTGAGTGGTGGAGTGTGGGTGAGTGGTGGAGTGTGGGTGAGTGGTGGAGTGTGGGTGAGTGGTGGAGTGTGGGTGAGTGGTGGATTGTGGGTGAGTGCTGGAGTGTGGGTGAGTTCTGGAGTGTGGGTGAGCGCTGGAGTGTGGATAAATGCTACGGCCCAGTGGTTAAATGAATTCTCATAAGCCGCTGGTTAAATGCCGCTTGCCCTATTTTCTCTCAAACAACCCATGATCCCCCCCCACAGACCCGTGTGCCGACTCTCCTTGCGGGTCAACTGCACTGTGCATCAGGAACAGCAACGGCACTCGCACATGCGAGTGCTGGTATGGCTATCGCTTCGTAGAAGCTTCCAGGACGTGCGTCCCTGGTGAGTGTTGGAGTGTGGGTGAACGCTGGAGTGTGGGTGAACGCTGGAGTGTGGGTGAACGCTGGAGTGTGGGTGAACGCTGGAGTGTGGGTGAACGCTGGAGTGTGGGTGAACGCTGGAGTGTGGGTGAACGCTGGAGTGTGGGTGAACGCTGGAGTGTGGGTGAACGCTGGAGTGTGGGTGAACGCTGGAGTGTGGGTGAACGCTGGAGTGTGGGTGAACGCTGGAGTGTGGGTGAACGCTGGAGTGTGGGTGAACGCTGGAGTGTGGGTGAACGCTGGAGTGTGGGTGAACGCTGGAGTGTGGGTGAACGCTGGAGTGTGGGTGAACGCTGGAGTGTGGGTGAACGCTGGAGTGTGGGTGAACGCTGGAGTGTGGGTGAACGTTGGAGTGTGGGTGAACGCTGGAGTGTGGGTGAACGCTGTGGCGCAGAGTTAAATGCATGCTCATACGCAGTTCTTCCTCTCTACTAACCTGCTTTCCCTACTTTTCCTCGGAACGACCCATGACCCCCCCTGCAGACTCATGTGCCAACTCACCCTGCGGGTCAACTGCAAAGTGCATCAGGGTCACCGACTACTCTTACACATGCCAGTGCCGGGGTGACCTCATCTTCATAGAAGATTCCAGGACGTGCATTCCTGGTGAGTGCTGGAGTGTGGGTGAGCGCTGGAGTGTGGGTGAGTGCTGGAGTGTGGGTGAGCGCTGGAGTGTGGGTGAGTGCTGGAGTGTGGGTGAGTGCTGGAGTGTGGGTGAGCGCTGGAGTGTGGGTGAGTGCTGGAGTGTGGGTGAGTGCTGGAGTGTGGGTGAGTGCTGGAGTGTGGGTGAGTGCTGGAGTGTGGGTGAGCGCTGTGGCGCAGAGGTTAGATGCATGATCGTAAGCAGTTCTTCCTCTCTACTAGTTAAATGCCGCTTGCCCTAATAATTCTCAAACAAACCCATTATCCCCCCTGGCAGACCCATGTGCCAACTCGCCCTGCGGGTCAACTGCACTGTGCATCAGGAACAGCAACGGCACTCGCACGTGCCAGTGCCAGGACGGCTTTTTCTTCAAAGAATCGGACAAGACGTGCATTCCTGGTGGGTGTTGGAGCGTGGTGAGTGTTGGAGCGTGGTGAGTGTTGGAGCGTGGTGAGTGTTGGAGTGTGGTGAGTGTTGGAGTGTGGTGAGAGTTGGAGTGTGAGTGAGTGCTGTGGCTCAGAGGTTAAATGCATACTCATAAGCAGTTGCAGTTCTTCCTTTCTACTAACCCACTTGTTCTACTTTTCCTCGGAACAACCCATGATCCCCCCCACAGACCCGTGTGCCAGCTCGCCTTGCGGGCCCTTTGCACAGTGCATCGGGAACAGCAACGGCACTCACACATGCCATGGGTCGACTCAAATATCAACCCATGCTTTTCCCCACCGCCACAGACCCATGTGCCAACTCGCCTTGCGGGCCCTTTGGAGAGTGCATCAGGATCTACGACAGCACTCACACGTGCCACTGCCGGAACGGCTTTTTCTTCATAGAATCTGACAGGATGTGCGTTCCTGGTGCGTGTTGGAGTGTGGTGAGTGTTGGAGTGTGGGTGAGTGTTGGAGTGTGGGTGAGTGTTGGAGTGTGGGTGAGTGTTGGAGTGTGGGTGAGTGTTGGAGTGTGGGTGAGTGTTGGAGTGTGGGTGAGTGTTGGAGTGTGGGTGAGTGTTGGAGTGTGGGTGAGTGTTGGAGTGTGGGTGAGTGTTGGAGTGTGGGTGAGTGTTGGAGTGTGGGTGAGTGTTGGAGTGTGGGTGAGTGTTGGAGTGTGGGTGAGTGTTGGAGTGTGGGTGAGTGTTGGAGTGTGGGTGAGTGTTGGAGTGTGGGTGAGTGTTGGAGTGTGGGTGAGTGTTGGAGTGTGGGTGAGTGTTGGAGTGTGGGTGAGTGTTGGAGTGTGGGTAAGTGCTGGAGTGAGGGTGAGTGCTGGAGTGAGTGAGGGTGAGTGCTGGAGTGAGGGTGAGTGCTAGAGTGAGGGTGAGTGCTGGAGTGAGGGTGAGTGCTGGAGTGAGGGTGAGTGCTGGAGTGAGGGTGAGTGCTGGAGTGAGGGTGAGTGCTGGAGTGAGGGTGAGTGCTGGAGTGAGGGTGAGTGCTGGAGTGAGGATGAGTGCTGGAGTGAGGGTGAGTTCTGGAGTGAGGGTGAACGCTGTGGCACAGAGGTTAAATGCATGCTCATAAGCAGTCCTTCCTCTCTACTAATCCTCTTTCCCTACTTTTCCTCGGAACAACCCGTGATCCCCCCTGCAGACGTGTGAACCAATTCGCAGTGCGGGTCAACTTTTGAGGCGCCTCAAAAGTCATTCGCAGTGCGGGTCAACTGCACAGTGCATTGGGAACAACGAGTACACTCACACATGCCATGGGTCGACTCAAATATCAACCCATGCTTCCCCCCACCCACCCCCGCAGATCCATGTAAGAACCAGCATTGCGGCCTTGCAGAGTGCATCAGGAACAGCGACGGCACTCGCACGTGCCAGTGCCAGGACGGCTTTTTCTTCAATGAAGATGACAGGACGTGCCTTCCTGGTGGGTGTTGGATTCCGGGTGAGTGCTGGAGGGTGGTGCGGGTGTGGGTTAGTGCTAGAGCAAGGGTGAACGTGGTGACTTTTTGATTGTGAAAACGTCTTGTGTGTGAGTGAGTGCTCTAGTGTGTGTGAATACTGTAGGCTAGAGCTCAGCTATGGAATGGAATGCCGCTCGCTCATGATCAGATGTTCTCCTCTACCAACCCCATCTCCCTACTTACTTTGCCTCGGAAAAACAACCCATACTTATGACTGACTTGCCCTGCAGAAATTTGTGCCAGGCTTGATTGCGGGCAAAGCACAAGGTGTAGCTTGATGAGTGATGGGACTGCCCAGTGCAAGTGCAAGGAGGGTTATCTCTTCGAGGAGATTGGCAAGACGTGCTACCCTGGTGGGTGGGCGTTGTGTTGTGTTGGTTGGTGTGCGGGTAATTTTTGCGTCGACTCAGAAAGGCCGTGTGCCATTGTAGCGAGGTGACTTGTGAGTTGGCTCAAAAGTGCGAGGAAGGTTTTATCTTAAAGGAGATTGGCAAGACGTGTAACCCTGGTGGGTGTTGGTGTGTGGGTGTGGCTGAGGGCTTAAAGTTTAGGGTAAAGGCTTGAGTTTAGGAGAGGGCTTGAGCATGTGCGGGTGAGGGTTGGAGTGTGGTTGTGTTGAAATCACATTTGAGAATTCTCAAAAGTGATTTCAATTGAGCATGTGCTGCTTGAGTTTGGGAGAGGGCTGGACTGTGGGTGAGTGCTAGAGCGGCGGTTAGTGTGTGGTCATAAGGGAAAAATTCTCTTAGCCCCTTTTTCTAGCTTTACCTCGCATTGGAACAACCAACTCTGATCCCCGTGCCATTCTTTTAAACCCCTGCCTTTCTTCTAACCCCCTGCAGACCCGTGTGCCGTCGTTTACCGTGGGCCGAGTGCTGAGTGCGTTGTGAAGGATGACGGCTCTGCCAAGTGCCAGTGCTACGATGACTCGCGCTTCCATGATGCTACCAAGACGTGCATTCACGGTGCGTGAGTGAGTGTTGCCGTGCGGTGTGGTGTGGATGAGTGAGTGTGCATCATGCGTCGTGAGGAAAGACGGCGCTACCGACTGCTTCTGTTTGGATGATTCGCGCTTCGACAATGCTACCAAGACGTGCATTCACGGTGAGTGGTGTTGCCGTGCGGTGTGGATGTTTTGAGTCGACTCGAAACATGTGGTGTGGATGAGTGCAATGCACTTCATGCGTTGCCCTTTGAGGAATGATGGCACTACTAACCGTTTGAGGGTTGTTGCATGATGTGCCTGACTGGCATGGTGTGTCTGATTGTGCGAGTGTGATTCATGTGCAAGCATTGATGTGATCAGTGCACGGTCATACAAATTATATGCTATATCATTCCGCCTAGTGACGGTATTCACTCTTGCTTTTCACCCTCTTACTTCTCAACCCGCTTGCTACTCGCCTTTCTTCCTCGCCCTCTTCTCACCCTCTTGCTTTTCACGCTCTTGCTTCTCACCCTCTTGCTTTTCACGCTCTTGCTTCTCACCCTCTTGCTTCTCACCCTCTTGCTTTTCACGCTCTTGCTTCTCACCCTCTTGCTTTTCACGCTCTTGCTTCTCACCCTCCTGCTTTTCACGCTCTTGCTTCTCACCCTCCTGCTTTTCACGCTCTTGCTTCGCACCCGGTTGCTTCGCACCCTGTTGCTTCTCGCCTGCATGGGGTTTCATTCTCTTGCTTTCCATGCTCTTCCCTCCTGCTTCTCGCCTGCATACTTCTCACCATCCTCCTCGGAACAACCATGATTCCCCCCACCCACAGATGTGTGTGCCAGCCAGCTCGCGTTGCGGGCTAGATGTACCGTGTGTTTTATAAATCAACCCATGATGATTTGTAAAACATCTGTGGGACCAACCCGCTTTCTCTACTTTTCCTCCACCTCAACACTCACCCACACCCCTTCCATACAGACCTGTGTGTGTGTGCCAGCTCACTTTGCGGCCCAAGTGCAAAGTGCGCTTTGGGGTCAACTCAAAAATCAATCCATGATCTCCCCCACCCCCGCAGACCCGCGTGACAAATCGTTTTGCGGGTTTGGTGTAACGTGCGTGGGGAACGGGAACGGCACTCGCACATGTCTGTGTTTTGAGTTGACTCAAAAGGCACAAATCAACGCATGATGATCCCCCCCATCCCCGCAGACCCGTGTGGAAAATCGCCGTGTAGGTTTGGTGTAACGTGTGTGGGGAACGTGAACAACACTCGCACATGCCTGTGTGAGGATGGCTTCATTTACCACAAACGTGGCTTGACGTGCATTCCTGGTGAGCAATGGAGTATGGGTGAGTGGTGGGATATGCGTGAGTGTTGGAGTATGGGTGAGTGGTGGGATATGCGTGAGTGTTGGAGTATGGGTGAGTGGTGGGATATGCGTGAGTGTTGGAGTTTGGGTGAGTGGTGGGATATGCGTGAGTGTTGGAGTATGGGTGAGTGGGATATGCGTGAGTGTTGGAGTATGGGTGAGTGGTGGGCTATGCGTGAGTGTTGGAGTTTGGGTGAGTGGTGGGATATGCGTGAGTGTTGGAGGTGGGATATGCGTGAGTGTTGGAGTATGGGTGAGTGGTGGGATATGCGTGAGTGTTGGAGGTGGGATATGCGTGAGTGTTGGAGTATGGGTGAGTGGTGGGATATGCGTGAGTGTTGGAGTTTGGGTGAGTGGTGGGATATGCGTGAGTGTTGGAGGTGGGATATGCGTGAGTGTTGGAGTTTGGGTGAGTGGTGGGATATGCGTGAGTGTTGGAGTTTGGGTGAGTGGTGGGATTGATAGAAGGAAATGCTGCCATGAGCAACAAAATGTCTGCGCTGACCTTCAAATCTGTCCTGAAAGTGTCTCAGGACAGATTCAGGACAGTTTCTGCTAAGGCGCTGGTTATGGTGCACACGAGTTTCGAACTGGAGACCTTTCGATTCAAGTGTCCCGAAAGTATCTTGTCAGGACAGATTGGGGACAGTTTGGGGACAGATTGGGGACAGTTTGGCGAAATCGATCTCGGGTCGCGTTCGGTTTGAAACTCGGCAGCGAAGTGTCGAAGTCAACGGAATTCGCACGGGAGTTACAGTCGGTAGTCGACGGAATTCTTGTCGCGGAAATTCTCGTCTACGGAATTCCAGTCAATGGAATTCGCTCGGCGAAATTCAAGGCTCCGAATTTCGCGTCGACAAAATTCAACGTGTGACCCGGGTCGACACTATCTTGTGTGCTTTTATTTTGTATTGCGTCCTAGTATAAAATCAGTGAGCACAAACCAGAAATTAACCAAGTCATTATCACTGCTATGTTTGTGTGTATCTCTGGTTTTCTGCACTCTTTGGTGCGTTGAAATCGTGCTTCTGAGCTCTATCAAACTGCTATAGTAGTGGAATTCTACATGGTATCAGAGTTGCGTTATCTTCGTCGATCCAACTAATGGCTTGATTTTGTCCTTCCATAACTTCGTTCCCACGTTGGTGTGGCCGACGCTCGTTTTGACTGCGCATGGAGTGGTTAACGAGCGCTGAGGGTTTGAATGCCCGTCAGGAGCTGGAGGCGTCCGTTCGTGAGCACCACCCTCACTTGCGTGATGAGGAGGTCGACCTCATTGTGGATGGTCGTCTACTACGCATGGTTCGGGAGCGCGCGGCGGAGCAAGCACCTGCGAGCAGCCAGCAAGGAGGAACTAGTGAAGGAGGAGCTATGCATGAGGCTCCTAGTGCTGTGGGCATTGGTGGAGGAGCTCTTGCACCGACCATTGACACGGGAATAATCGGCACGAGCTATGGCCAATTCAAGTTTGGAGTTGAGCACATCTCGGTGACGCCGCTGCTGGAGGGAAGGCACGACCTTTCCGCGTGGGTCACCGCCATCCGACCTCAGCTCTAGTGTGCTGATTTGTGGCAGTTTTGCAACGGGACAGCACCAAACCCGGCCCCAAACAACCCCTTGCAACGAAGGGAGTACTCAAAGGGTCAAATGCTTGCATTCATGGTGCTGAACCGATGTGTTTCTCCACCCATCCGAATGTCCATCTCTGGTTTCTCCCAGCAAGAGAAAGCCGGGCAGCTAGCATGGGCATATATCTTGTCTACTTATCAAGTTCGTGATGCTCTCCACGCTTCCGTACTTCAGTCCCAGTTAGCCCAGCTCAGGAAGGGAGACGATGAGACAGCGGAATCCTACTGCAATAGGGCCCGCACCATCCGAGCGGAGCCGCTGACCATTGGACAGGAGGTCCACATGGCCACGTTTGCTGCCCACGTGCTGAAAAGCCTACCACCGGAGTACGGATTTCTTCGCCGCAAGCTCGAAATTTCCAGCCCTGACATGATGGTGGAACGCGTGTGCAGCGAGGTGTTGATGGAGGAGCAGACTCTCTCCATCGAACAGAGTTACAAGCAGATCACCAGCGATGCATCTGCTTTCTCGGGCGCTGTCAACACCATCGTGGCTACAACCGGGGTCAACGAGAAGGAAGGAAAAGGGGGGAGGGAGCAGACGGACAAGAAGAAGGATGGCAAGCGGGAAAAGAAGCGAGCCCCCTTCAAGGGGCGCTGCTACAACTGCAATGAGGAGGGGCACATGGCTGCCATGTGCCTCAACAAGAAGAAAGATACAACGCCCGCGGCAGCCGCGAACGTAGCTGAAGGAGACGGGAAGGGAGTGGCGCTCACCGTCGCGTGTTCGGCGGCAAAGTTGCTGGCCGAGGACAAGGACTTGTGGTTCCTTGACTCCGGATGCTCCCAACACATGACCGGCCGCAAGGAGTGGTTCACAGTGATCCGTGACCCATCTGCAATGAAATCAGTCAAAGGGCTTGATGGTTCTATGCAGGAAGTTTCCGGTGTTGGTGAGGTTTTGCTGGAGGGCACTAATAGCTTACGTGTGACCCTACATGATGTCCTCTTTGTGCCAGGAATGAAGGCCAACTTGGTCTCCCCTGGGCAGCTCTTGGACAAGGGAGCAAAGCTGCAAACTGAGGAAGGTGTCACTTGCATCATCGCATCAGGAGGTCAAGTGGCTGCAACGGCACGATACCGCCATCGCCTTCACTGCCTTGACCTGAAACCAGGGCCAACAAGGAACGGTGCAACGGCTGCAGCGGCATGCAACGGCACGGCGGCTGCAGCGGCATGCAACGGCACGGCGGCTGCAGCGGCATGCACCAATATGGCAGGTGGAGCGGCGAGCAACAGCACAGAGGCTGCAGCGACATGCAACGGCACGGCGGCTGCAGCGGCATGCAACGGCAGGGCAGCTGCGGCGGCATGCAACGGCAGGGCGACTGCGGCGGTATGCAACGGCACGATGGCTGCAGCAATATGCAACAATACGGCAGCATGCAATGGCATGGCGGCTGAGGTGGCATGCAATGGTATGCCTAAGGCATTTGCTGAGGTGGTGTCAAGCGCGTCGGAAGAGAATGACGAAGCGGCCAGCCTCACAACATATGCGGTGGGGACCGAGGCGATGCTCAACCTGCGGCACACTCACCTTGAGAATGACCATGCTGGTGCGGTGCAGTGGACAGCCACAAACAGTGGCATGCTGGGCATGGACCTAGAGAAAGGAGGGGAGGACACGTCGAGCGCCTCCTCCCAAGAAGCCAAACTCACTCGTCAAACGCTTCCGCTGCCTGACGAGCGAGAGGGGGAGGTTCTTGGGATGGTCCATGGCACTGAGCAGAATCAGCCGCCGTCACGTACCGTCATCATAATCTCAGTGCCGTCCGTGCAAGGGGGCGAACAACCGTTTGATCGTTCGGTTGACCCTACGGGCAGCAACGCAACCATGGCTCCGTCAGCTCTCTGTCCATCCTTAGCTGCTGGCTTGGCACCTGTGGGACCAGAGGTTGGTCCCTCTGCAGATGAACGGCGTGCAGCTGATGAAGACAAAGAAGGGGAGGCAACGGACCTGAAATCGGCGACAACCCATGGGAAGGACCCCATACCTACGGTTCCGCCCCTCCAGCCCACTTCCCCACCCCCATGTCATTCTAGCAGGTCCAACAAAGGTATGCCACCTGTTCGGCTTCCCGCATCCACCATGACAGCCTCGGATGCGGTTGATGGCAACAACATGTACGGCATTGCATTCTTTACTAGAGGTGCTTATGGCACGGACATCTACTATGATGTGGAGTATTTGGATGAGGCTGATGAGGAGGAAAGGGGATTGAGGAGCATCATCATCAACCTCGAAGTAACCTTGACTGGACCTGAAGGCAAGGTGGTAGACAAACGTCTCCTCGTGGTGGAATACATGTCATCCACGGAAGGCTATCTTGGTCTGCAGATTGTGCGCGACCACCCCAACAAGACACTCCTCCTGCACCAGAATGCATACACGGCGAAGGTACAGCAGCGGTTCTTCAAGGGGGCACCACTGAAGAAGCAGCCTATCACTCCTCTCCTCTGCCAGCTTTGCCAAGCAGGATGCCGGCCAGTTTGCCAATTGTACCATGACCGAGTACTAGTCAATTCTCGGCATGGTGCAGTTTGCAGTCATCTCAACCCGTTCTGACCTCTCTTTTGCATGCAGTCGCCTTGCAGCAGGTGCACACCTCAGGACCGATGCGCATTGGCATGAGCTCTTCCGCACACTCTCCTACTGGTCTGCCTCACCGGACAAGGGGCTGCTGTTCAAGGGAGGACCAGAGAGTTTGATACTCGTAGGGTATGCAGATGCGGATGATGCAGGCGACAAGGAGAACCGGTCGTCCACGGGAGGCTACCTCTTCAAGCTTGGCAGAGCTGCCGTTTCATGGCACGCCAAGAAGCTACAGGGTGCAACCAAACTTTTTACCACCGAGAGCGAGCTTGTGGCTGCGGTGGAAGTGGGAAAAGAGGGGCGCAAGCTAAGGTTTCTGCTGTGGGAGTTTCAACTGCTCAAGAAGGGTGTCCCCACCACCCTGTACGTCGACAACATGTCAGCGGTGCAGCTCAGCCAGGCGGGCGGGCTGCAGGGGCGCATGAAGAATGTGGACCGTCGCCACATGTGGCTACAGGATATGGTGCGTATGAACAAGTTGGAGGTGCAGCACATCCCTACAACGGCGCAGCCCGCGGAATTCTTCACGAAACGGTTCGAGAAGGCAGCCTTCAACCGATGCTGTGCAGCAACCAGGCTGGTCCAGCGTGCTCCTGACAGCAAGGGGGCGTGTGAGAAAGAAATGCTGCCATGAGCAACAAAATGTCTACGCTGGGATTCGAACTCGTGACCTTTAAATCTGTCCTGAAAGTGTCTCAGGACAGATTCAGGATAGTTTCTGCTAAGTCGCTGGTTATGGTGCACACGAGTTTCGAACTGGAGACCTTTCGATTCAAGTGTCCCGAAAGTATCTTGTCAGGACAGATTGGGGATAGTTTGGCGAAATCGATCTTGGGTCGCGTTCGGTTTGAAACTCGGCAGCGAAGTGTCGAAGTCAACGGAATTCGCACGGGAGTTACAGTCGGTGGTCGACGGAATTCTTGTCGCGGAAATTCTCGTCTACGGAATTCCAGTGAATGGAATTCGCTCGGCGAAATTCAAGGCTCCGAATTTCGCGTCGACGAAATTCAACGTGCGACCCGGGTCGACACTATCTTGTGTGTTTTTATTTTGAATTGTGTTCTAGTATAAAACCAGAGAGCACAAACCAGAAATTAACCAAGTCATTATCACTGCTATGTTTGTGTGTATCTCTGGCTATAGTGGACCGTTTTCTGCACTCTTTGGTGCGTTGGAATCGTGGTTCTGAGCTCTATCAAGCTGCTATAAAAGTGGAATTCTACAGGGATATGCGTGAGTGTTGAAGTTTGGGTGAGTGGTGGGATATGCGTGAGTGTTGGAGGTGGGATATGCGTGAGTGTTGGAGTATGGGTGAGTGGTGGGATATGCGTGAGTGTTGGAGGTGGGATATGCGTGAGTGTTGGAGTTTGGGTGAGTGCTGGGATATGCGTGAGTGTTGGAGTTTGGGTGAGTGGTGAAGCAGGGATGGAGCTGTTGAGTGTGGTGATTTCTTGTTTGTGGGAACTTCTTGTGTGCGAGTAAGTGCTTGAGTGTGGGTGGCGGGTGGAGAGAGTAGGGATGAGCAAAAAAATGAACACCTGTTCGGTTCACCTCGAACGTGTTCGAGGGAACCGAACATGTTTTTTTTTGGCTTAAAGTGTTTGTCAAACAGTGTTCGTGTTCGGGCCGCTGCTGCAATTTGCCCCTAGACGAACACGAACGTGTTCGAGGTTCGCCCAAACAAGCCTTCATAGGCGAACGACGAACGCCTGTTTTTGCTTAAGGTGTTGGCCGAACCGAACAGTGTTCGGTTCGCCGAACAGGGGTGTTCGTGCATGGGCGAACGCGAACACGTTCGTGTTCGCCCCTTGCTCATCCCTAGGAGAGAGTTAGGGTGTGAGTGAATGCAAGAGTGCGAGTGCAAGAGTGCGAGTGCGAGAGTGCGAGTGCGAGAGTGCAAGTGCAAGAGTGGGAGTGCAAGAGTGGGAGTGCAAGGGTGCGAGTGAGTGCAAGGGTGCGAGTAAGTGCAAGGGTGCGAGTGAGTGCAAGGGTGAGAGTGAGTGCAAGGGTGCGAGTGAGTGCAAGGGTGCGAGTGAGTGCAAGGGTGCGAGTGAGTGCAAGGGTGCGAGTGAGTGCAAGGGTGCGAGTGAGTGCAAGGGTGCGAGTGAGTGCAAGAGTGCGAGTGAGTGCAATAGTATGAGTGAGTTCAAGAGTGTGAGTGAGTTCAATAGTGTGAGTGAGCAAAAATCTCCCATCTTCTTCTAACCCTCTTTCTCTCTCTTTCTTGGAACAACAACTCTTACTGATCCCCCCTGCAGCCGCGTGTGCCGACGTTGACTGTGGGAGGAGTGCTTATTGCTCTTTGATGGATGATGGTTCAAAAAAATGCCTTTGCTTCGATGATACTCGCTTCGACGATGCGACCAAGACGTGCATTCACGGTGAGGGTTTGAGGTTTCGGGTTTAAAGTGTTGTCATTTGGTGTGGTGCGAATGAGTGTGTGCTTCATGCGTGCCGGGTCTGGGGGTGCTGAGCCTGGGGGTGCTGATTCTGCGGGTGTTGAGCCTGGGGGTGCTGAGACTAGGGGTGCTGAGCCTGGGGGTGCTGAGCCTGGGGGTGCTGAGCTTTGGGGTGCTGAGCCTGGGGGTGCTACGCATGGGGGTGCTGCGTCTGAGAGTGCGAAGTCTGAGAGTACTAGGCCTACTCGTGTGGCGTCTGGCGGTGCTGGGCCTGGAGGTCCTTCGAGTGCTTCGCCTCGGCGGGAGCTACTCTCTCCACAGGAGGTGCGTGAGTGGTTTGCTCGGCACTAGAGGCGTGCTGCTGGAGCTGGAGGGTCTACTGCTGCTGAGGGTGCTGGTACCACGGGTCCCGAAGGTGCTCGTACTGGGAGTACTGGAGCTGCTGGGCCTGCGGGTATTTCTGGTGCTGGAGCTGGAGCTGCTTCGCTTCTGGTGGTCCGGCTGGAGCTGGAGCTGCTGAGAGTGTTGGCGCTGAGGGTACTGCTGGCGCTACTGGAGGTGGTCCTGCTGGAGGTACTGCTGGTGCTGCTAGAGGTCCTGGAGCTGCTGGAGCTGCTGAGGGTACTGGTGTTGGAGGTCCTGCTGGCACTGGTGCTTCTAAGGGTGCTCGAGTTGATGCTGCTGGAGCTGAAGGAGCTGCTAGCGCTAGTGCTATCACTGGGGGTACTGGTGCTGTCCCTGCTGTTTCAGGAGTCGCTTCGCGACCTCGGCCGTACTTCGTTCCGCTCCTTGAGCAGGTTCTTGGTCTCCCGTCTTCTACTGGTCCTCCTCCTCCTTTAGAGTGTCTACAGCCTGTCCCGTTGCAATCACTGTTACAGCTTGCCTCGCAACTGCCTGCTCCTTCTCCCTACACTGGTCCTACTGGAGGTCTAGCTGAACGTCGTCAGCCTGCGTCTCGTCCTGCGTCGCCTATCCGTGCTGCTCGCGCTAGTTGTCGTGGTTCGCGTCAGCGTCCTCCCCCTATGTTCGGCACGCACCGGATGTCTCTGCGTCCGTCCACTGCTCCTCTGCATGCCCCTTTACCTTCTCCTCCTGAGTCCTCTCTTCCTGCTCTTGTTAACCCGGAGTCGGACTCTCTTCGTGCTGCCAGTCCTACTGTCACGCGTCTCATTGCTACTCTTGTCACAGACCTTTCCTTTGAGTCCGCTGCTGCGTCTGCGTTGGTCACTGAACTCGTCAACTTTGCTGCTCGCTGTTGTTTAGACTACGCTGCTAGTCTTGTTGCTGAGTCTGAGTCTATCTGTCCTCCGTCCGTCGGGGGTGAGTGTGCCCTTGGCACGGACGTCTTTGAGGACAGGCAGGAGGAGTTCCAGTGTTTGGCTGTTGATTCACCTCATCTCGTGTCCGTGCTGCTTACCCCTGAGGGAGACCCGGATGCACTTGACAACCCAACTCTGCGCTCCTACGCGGAGACGATCGAGGGTCGTTACTCCTCTCAGTGGCAGACAGCCATGGATGCAGAGATCGCTTCCTAGAAGTGCACTTGCACTTACGTCGACGATGTTCCCCCACCTGGGTCGAACATTGTCAGTGGCATGTGGATTTTCAGGGTGAAACGGCTCCCGGGTTCTCCGTCTGTCTTCAAGGCGCGTTACGTGGCTTGAGGCTTCAGTCAGCGGTAAGGAATTGACTACTTTCAGACCTTCTCTCCCACCCCGAAGATGACCACTCTTCGGGTACTGCTGCACATAGCCGCTCAGCGCGACTACGAGCTTTATTCTCTTGACTTCAGCATACCCTCTTAGCATTCTCGTTTTGACCTTGTATATCCTCTTAGCATTTTCGCACGCTATGTTGCTCCTGGGAGACACAGACCGGAGGACATGGCTGCAGCGAAGAGAGTGTAGCGCTACTTATGCAGTATGTCGGGTATGGGGCTAGCGCTTGGAGGGCGGAGTCCAGCGGTCCTCACTGGGCACGCAGACGCTTCTTGGGCTGACGACCAGGCTAAGCAGCGGTCGTGACAGGGTTACACCTTCAGCCTTGGTTCCGGCTTTGTTTCGTGGCGGTCTACCCGCTCGTCTTCTATTTTCGGCTCCAGTTGTGAGGCTGAGATCTACGCCGGGGCCATGGCTGCACAGGAGCTTCGCTGACTCACCTAACTGCTGACTGACCTCGGAGAGCCGCCTCGTTCTCCTCCAGTGCTGTACGTAGACAACAAGGTCATGCTGGCCTTGTGTCGGGAGCACAGACTGGAGCATGAAACGAAGCACATTGCTCTTCGCTACTTCCTTGCTCGTGAGCTACAGCAGCGTGGTCAGCTGCGACTTGCTTATGTTGCCTCTCAGGCCAACACTGTTGATGTGTTCACCAAGGCACTCGCGCCTTGTGATCATCAGCGCTTCTGCACTCTGTTAGGTCTTGTGCCTACTTTGCCTCACTTGCTCACTTCTTGACTTTGCTTGTACTGTGATTTATCTATACATGCACTTGCTGGTTTACTGTTATATATGATCTTGCTTGTGAACTGGTCTTGTAGCCTTGAACTTGTGCTCGGAATGTGTGGTGCCGTTGTGATCCACTCTGGGGTTGTTTTGTTTTGCTTGACTGGTCTTGTGACCCGTTGTTCTCCCCCATTTTGGCTATGGGAGTGTGTCAGATTTATATGACTTAGCTAATGTAGGCTATAGTGTGGTAGCACATATGGGGTACACATTTTTAAGGTTTGTACTTGTACCCAACTTTCTTTTAGTCATTCTCATTCCTCGTAATTCTCACAAGTAGATGGGATTTTGACAGCGTCATAATGCGTAGCACACTGTACGCCATGAGGGACTCGCTATACTACTGAGCCCTGGCATTTTCGGTTTCTTCCACAAGTTTTGCGTAGGAGCCCTCAACGTAATGGTAGATCTGCGCTGTGTGTAGGAGTTCAAGCTCAAAACTCCATGTGTAAAAATCATTGATGTCAAACGCGGCAGTAGTATTAATTTTTGAAACGCAGAGAAAGCGTGCTTGCGCAGAATTGATGACTTCATGACTTGGACGGCGGCAGTTGTTGATTTGTTTGTGTCGAGGGAGAAGGCGTGCGCGGCGGTATCACGAGTTTTCGCAGCCGGTTGACCAGGTTGGGCTGGTTGGGAGGAGGTTCCCGCATCGCCTTTGCGCAGTTCTTGGAGGTCTTTCTCCATAGTTGAGAGTCACGAAAATAATTGCTCGAGTGTGGCAGTGCTGATCGAAGTTGTCGCCTCATTTGTCGCAACCGGATTGGTTTGTCCTTCGGCCGTTAGATTTGCTTGGCCTCCGGATCCTCCGGCCATCTTGGTCTTGGAACGTGTGCCGCTCGCCAGATCTTGGTTTGGCGAACTTCATGGAAGTGAAGTTGCGAAGAATCCATAAGTAGCTCTCATACCCTATTACAATCCCAAGTGGGACTTAGCAAAAGGATCGCTCAAGGTTGATCGCAGAGTAGTGTTGCAGCGGAAGTATTGACCTCAGGTCATAGAGAATGTAAATGACTAAGATGCTAATAGCATGCATACATCGTGTTTATATAGGAAATAAAAAGGAATACGAAACGGCCTAGATTAGCCATGTACTCTAAAGAGTACATTCCTTATTACAGCGAAGTTCTACTCGTGCAGCGGGAACCCGTTTCAAACCTGTTCCCACCTTTTTCAGTTCAAATGTTTCTGCCTGCATCGGTCTTGGTAAGACGGTTACCAGCGTCGCTTCGACTCTTCTGACTCTTCGACTTCGTATTCGGTAGAGTCGGCTCCTGCAGCATACAGGAATGCCTTCTCATTAAGTTTCATATCATAGCACAAGGTAAAGGTCGAGTTAAATCAGAGGCGCACTACACTAAGCCGAGTAAAAAATCGTTGTTATATTTGACCAGGGCCTCAGATTCGTTTGAGGGTACCCTGTGGACTCAGGGCAGGTTTTAAGAATTCCTATTTTGTCTTGAACTATCAGGATAGAGCAAGGGTGGGTATGCTGTGGGGTCAGTGCTACAAGTGGCATTATCCTGCCAAGTCAGTGTTACTTTTCACTTTTGTCAGATGATTATATATTGTTGATGCA